TAATGGAAAAGAAGAAAGATTTTTAGAATTTTTCTGTAAAAGGGATGTGCAAATGATGCCAAATCGCCATTACAGATACAGCAAAGTAAAGGTTTAATCACAAACGATCCATGATTTTCTTTCTCCACTTTGTGTTCCACGAACCTAACCGAGTGCATTTGCACTCGTTTCATAGCGTCCAGGCCACAGGATTATCATAAATAGTCATTCCATCACTCTTTTCTACTCACTTTTCACCGCAAATTAAATCGAAACTCCATCAGCAGCGAATATATGAATGCGCCTTTCTCAAAAACTCCGTTCACTGCTTAAAACAGTAAACCACATACTGTACATACGAACATTTATCGATCGTAAGAGAGGATTTGCCAGCGCATTGTGAAAACACATCTTTGAAGTATTCAATCGCAAAGAACAAATTCATAGGGGTAAAAGAAAGTTGTCCAAGAGTGCTGGATACGCCCACTTCTTGTTGTTACCTAAACACAGCATGTTCCAAACCTGTTGCCAGCAAAAGAAGATTGAGCGCGTAAAGTTTACTCGTTGCCAAGTCACACACAGTCACAACCAAGTTCACTAAGTTGGTCATGGATCTCCTATTTGGCATAACGCTAAGAGTAGGCGTTCGAGCACAAGTAAGGGACTATCCGCAGGAGGAGAACACCGCTACGGTGCAACAATCTCTGAATTTGATGATTGCGATGGAATAGTGATGTTATAATTGCAAGCAGTGAGCATTCTGGAAATGGCCTGAACGAGAGCCGCCCAATCAACAAGCTACCAAGAAAAGACGGTGCCATACCCAACTAGCAGAGCAGAGCCGAGGTGGGGAGGGCTCCCCGAGCTGCTGAAGAGGGTCGAGCTCTATGACTGGATAACCGCTGAACCGGGGCTGGCTCGCCTCGGAAATTGACGTCATTTCCCGTGGAAGCCGCGTGCGGGAGCGAGAGAACGAGTTCATCGTTGACGAGTTGTGCAAACGTTGCAAAACTTGATATAATATCAGGACTCGCTGTGAGCTGGCCCGTGTCCAGCAGTGGGGCGTGGTCCGAGATTCCCACGCTTTCAGGTTGCGCAGTGTTCGAGGCGTCTGCGCCCTCGTC